CGCATGACTAAGTTATTTTTTCCGCCGACATAAACTGCATAAACCGAGGCATAAACTGCTGTTATACAGGGTAAGTCTTAAATAAGTGCAAATATTTTCAGGGGTGGTATATTTTGACCCCAGGAACACGTCTATGATGTTTTTTTTGCAAATAAAATATGTTAAAAATCGTGCATTTTCTTTTAAATTTCCCTGTATATTTTTCGAAAACTTTTTAGAACTGCCTGTTCACCGCTAATTTTCCCACGTTATAAATTCTTAATCTCTGATATTACCATAGTTACAGCTTTACTCTATGGTTACGGCACTAAAAGGGATGCAAATACAGAAAAAATTCAGGTGGCTATCAAAATTAAAAAAAATCAATTTTTTTTTAAATTTTCAAACTTAAATAACTCGGTTATTTTGGACTTATTTGAAAAATGGTAAAGAAAAAATATGTTTCTTTTATCGAGATCTACCAGCCCTGAAAATATTTGCACCTATTTAAGACTCACCCTGTATAATAAAAGTAACGGCGAATTGTTGTAGGCACAATAATAGCCGAGATTGTTACAGCTCTGGCAAGATTTGATATGGGTTGGCGCGCCTTAGTTCGATTCTCGATAACCCCATATAATTTTTTTAAATGGTTTTGATTTTTTTTTATCCTTTTGAATTCAACAAAAACTATATTACTAGCCAATAAATTGTACAGGTTTGAGAAATTTTGTGTAGTTATACATTTAATAAAGCTCGTAATAAAGTGGGAGATCGCTCTAACATAAATAACAATTCCGGTTTCGTCGTAAGTAAAGTAACCTTAATTTTGTTATTTTAATAAAAAACACCCTGTAAATTTTTATATCCCTCTAGTAAATGTAAGTCGAAATGGTGCTTCATCTTTTTTTTATATATTTAATAGTTTCGGAGATAATAGCGTTCAAAATTTTAACTTCCTTTTTACCATTCAAATAAAATTTAAAAAAAATATATACAGTGTGTCCAAGATACGTATATCTCGAAAAGTATTTTATATAGATACGTAAAACGGTTCATCACGAAAATTATTCTAAATGTATGGCGTACACATGAGAGGATTTCTTGGGGATGTACCGAGGATGTACTAGAGGATGTAGGGGATGTACCGGGGATGTACCGAGGATGTAGTGGATGTACCGAGGATGTAGGGGATGTACTAGGGGATGTACGAGGATGTAGGGGATGTACCGAGGATGTAGGGGATGAACCGAGGATGTACTGGAGGATGTAGGGGATGTACTAAGGATAGAGGATGTAGGTGTACACTTTTTGCCCTATGTGTTTACCCCTCGGCTCAAACGCACTGACGACCAGGTCGCAGCGATCAGCCAACGGTCAGGGCCCGAATTCTGGTCTCCACATAAAAACGTTACCTACGCTTTCAAAGCGGTAAGCGAAAGTATTCGATTAGCGGAACACCAGGCAGTCGATTTTGGTATTCTCGTTGCCGCGCGAATCGTTTTCAGTCTATGTTATTATGGTTATGTCATAATTCTTATTATACGAGGGAAATATATTGGAAATATATGTATAACCAACTGACAGCTCGACGAGTAAAACTGACAGCTCGACAAGCAAAACTGACAATCAAAACGATCAGCAAAACCAGTAGCGTGGCAAATTCTCGCGCCCCCCCCCCTTGCAAACTTTGTTAGGGGCCCCTTAACCCCTAAGTATACTCAAAAATTCCTTCAAATACATCATTATTGTGATATCTGCTTGAAACATATTTTTTAACAAGAGCCACAATGTGATATTTTTTTTTATATTTTGATAATTGTTTGAATATTTATTTGTTTATTATTATAGTATTCTTAAAATACTTAAACTAGAAACAAACATTTATGCTTCTAATTAATCAAAGTTTTATTAGAAAAAAAAACCACTCAACATTTAACTACTAATAACTAGAACACAAAGAAATTTTAAATGTTTATGATGTACCCTATGGTATATTAGAAAGTCTATTCCTTTTTCCTCGACCTTAACAAAAGGAACTTATTTACGAGGCTGTCCAAATCTACCTCTTTTGCTCGATCATTCTCAACTGACATTATGGCCAGTGAGCTTAGGCGATTTTGGGACATAGTAGACTTCGCAAAACTTTTTATTATTTTCAGCTCAGAAAAAGTTCTTTCTGGTTCAGCGGATGTTACAGGGAGAACCAGAAACAACTGGAATACAGTGCAAATTTCAGATATACTGCTAATCAGTAATTGGGTTTTTTCAAAAATAAAATCAGAAAACTCTCTGATACTTTGAACTGAGGTTCAATATTCCAAGATTTCGCAATTGAAATTGAGAGCTCATACACACTTTCAAAGTTGTCCCTAAGATTTTATATTTTATCAAGAACTCCTGATTAGATCTGTGGCCAGTCCTATGTCAATATCATTTTTTTGTAAGCATTTTGAAAGCAAGTTAGTATTTTTCAATATTGTACCTTGGAAATTTAGTAAGAAAATAAATTCGAAATTTTCTATTTTACCTTGTAACATCTTGGTCTCATCTCTATCAGTACGTTTTTTCAGTATTAACGTTAAATTCGATAAACACTTGACGACGGACAAAAAATTAGTTTTTATCCATAGTATGCTTTCGGCTCTTGACGACCATCTAGTTGGACATAATTTTTTTAAAGTTAAACCAACAGTTTTACTATTTTTATTTCGCAGTTTAGGCTTTTCCAACGGGGTAGACTTTTATTGAAAAGTATATAAAGACTATGAACCGTGTCAAAAAAACCTCTTATCTCGCTAATATTGCTCACAGAGTAATTTAAAATAAGTGTGCTTATGGAAAAAGTCTACCGATATGATACTGTTAATCAAAAACGCCGTGAAAACATAATAATCGCCGTGTGTTGTGTCGCCTAAACATATTTACAACTAAACCAAATTCCAAATTAACCCATACAATAATTATTATTATTATACCTGTAGTGTAAAATAATTGTTTTATATCAGCCTAATTATTGCTGAAAAAAGGATTGTGTGCCTAAATGTAATTTCAGTTTTCGGTTTGTGAGGTGCGGGGGCCCCCAGTTTACAAGGGGCTCCCCGCCCCGCGGGGTCCGCGGGGGCGTACCGCCACGCGCCTGAGCAAAACCATCTTTAAGGTAGCCGTTTACAAATCGCTTAGCGCAATGGGTAAATACCCTAAGCGCATCAAAGGGGAATACCCAAGTCGGTAGTCACAATGTAGTCAAGTGCGAGGCAACCGAAAATTAACGTCATATATACGCTGAGCGTCTAAAAGCGCTCAGCCATAGAAGATATACAATGCCTCAGCGTTTTCTAAGTTGCAGAATTCGGGCCCAGGACGTTAGTGCGCGTTGTATCATTTGATTGGTGGTTGTTAGGTCGCTGTGACCAGTAATACCATTTCTGATGGCCATTGGCTGCTTGCTGCGATCTGATGGCCGTCAGTGCGTGTGTGCTCTTACTTAACGAAGCCTTTATAATAGAAACTATACTTGTTTTAAATTAAATTACTGATATACTTACATATATTATATTTTTAGAGCACTGTAGACACTGCAGGGCTTGTACCATCAGCCACTGACTAAATCTTTTAGACATTTAGGGCATAAATATACAAAGTTTAGTTCATCATTATAAAATAATTCTCAACTAGACTAAAGTATTTTGCGTCTGAACCAGAGGCATTATATATTTGTATCAAAACCAAAGGTGTTAAGTTTGTTACACATCTTCGACTGGTTGGCAATGTTGTTCGCGAGACAATACCGTTTTCTCAAAAGCACTAAAGCCAATCAGATCGGCTCCCGCTCATGCAAAATGTGCAGCGATCGTGTATCGGTGGTGCCATGTAGCCAGCGTGTGTTGGTACCGGGGCAGGTGTTGTACCGGTCAGATGAGGCGATAGTTTGAGTTACGAACTCGGAAACGGTCGTTCGCGGCCTTTTTCAGAATTAATTTCTACACGATTCCGATAGGGAACTCGGTACGCTTTCGAATTTATTCGAGGTGGTACCGTTAGGAGGCGCGATTTCCGCGCTAATGGAGATCGTACCGAGTAAATTTACACGTCGTTAATTGCCAAAGGTTTCGTTGTAATGTGTTCTTTACGGCCAACTTTATACGGACGGTTACAGAATTGTAATACACTCAGTTCTAATACAGCAGACCACTTCTTCTTTCGTCGAACGACTTCTTCTTGTGGGGCACACTCAAAAATCATATTTATAGGCATATTAAATACAAGAACTTAGATGAACTGAAAACGGCACCTCGGTGGACTGCTAAAGATTCTCCCCTTAACAGCTTTGTATTGTGAAGCGTGAATTTTTGAATCATTTTTGCTATTGTTTGGTTGTGAACGGGGGATTCTGTCAATATTTTATTTTTTAATATAGTTGTTTAATAAAGTTCCTTTAGTTACAAATATTTCTGCGGACAAAAAATTATTGCTGTCATGAGTGATCGAGTAATAAACAGCAAACAAGTCATAACAACATTTCTGCAAAATTTCCATAACTTTTCATAACAACCATTTAAATCTCAAAACAACACGAAATTCTTCAACATAACATGAAAAAATTTGTTAACACGAGATTGGTTTTTCATTCAAAATATCGTAACTACGCTTACTTTTAAAAATTATAGAACAGACTTCTATTCCATCCGAGTTATAATTAATAATTGTAATAATGCAATAACGTTGAAAATCTTTAAGAACTGCACTTACTGCTTGGTACTGGTACATTGGCTAGTAAAAGTCTTTACTCATTATAAAAGATTAATATAATTTTAATAATAAAATAAGATTGAAAACACAGATAACTACTATAAAATTCCAGTAATAAACCCTTATTTCATTTTATTTATTTATAATTAAAAAAAATATTTTACTACGAACAAGGTTAATTATAATAATACTGTTACATTAAGCATAAACATATATTTTGACAAATATAAATTAATAACTATATAATAATATAATAAAACTAAAATAAATATTACTTTTCTAATTTTAAATAATTGACTGTAGTTAACAAGTGGGCGAATCCATATAAAATCAGTAAAATGGTAACAAAACCTTCCATGATAATAAAGTGTGATAAACTCGACCCAATATCAAGCCACGAACCCTTGTTCGTAATAAGAAACAAAAATTGTAAAACCATAATATCGGAAAAGATAAGAATAATACAAAACATTTGTAATATATTTTCTTTGCCTATCGAGTTGATAGCTCTGAAAACACAGCACGTAAACAAAAACGGCACTGCAATCTTCAGCAAAATAAGACCCATCATTTTAAATGGGCTGAATACTGTTAGAAAAGCTCTAACCCACATTGGATCGAAGGAATTCAAACTGGCAATGTTGCCAGTTCCAAAGAATCCGACGAAGATGAATACCATAAACAGGAAGGCTCTTCGAAACATATCGGAATTGACTTTTTGTTTACTTTCAATTAAGGAATTAAAAGATAAGTAATAAATAATATTTCCTGAATCCGTTGCCTGAAGAACTTTGCTCTCTATCAACAACCAGTTACAAAGAATAGCGACATAAACCGCTGAAAATAGAGCCTCATAGTTAGAGGACACTAGCAAGTAGAATGGAGCAAATCCAAAGAAAGTTGTAATAAGTCGATCGGCAACTAACTGATTAGAAAATGGAATTATAGAAATAGGCATTACAAATATAAACCAAGATATATATTTAATAGAAGAATTATTAGCTATGAAGCCTAGTTCTAACAAAACAGTGTAAATTGCTGCACATACCAAACATAAAAATTGAAAGTGGAATATTTTGTAAGAAACCTTTGTGTTTCTTAATTGGTTTTGAACAGTTATGCGACAGTACATTTCGTAGAAAAGAACCAGCCAGGATACGCATCCCAGAACATACATGGGCATGTTAAAACTAGTTTTCATTACTGGACACAAAGGAAAAGCGGAAAGAACAGAACATAAACTAATCCAGAGGAGTTTGTCTCGTTTATTCGTGTATTTTCCGAAGGTATCTGTCGAAAATATCCATAAGCCGATTAATACTGTAAGAATAGAGAATGCCGCTCTATGAAAAAAGCCGCAAATAAGTAGTTCGATGCCGATTATATAAATTATAATACTGGCTGCTTTATCGCTAGACAAAAACTGTTTAAATTCAAAGAAGATGCTCTTTAAACGATTTGTATCACGATGTAATAATGTAAATGAAGCGACTGGAAACGTAAAGTGAAGATAGTACGATAAGGGAAAACTCTGCATGTAGCAAAGTATCACCGGAACAGCGTTGAAAATTATTAAGATTCTTTTATGCAAAAGCGGAGATTTGTTTCCGAGTTTCTCGTTATCTAATACGGACGCGATCAAGAATAAAATCCAGCCGATAAATCCGACGGAGATAGAAATCAGCAGTGGGTATTGGTAGTAGTTATGATAATAGTCCAAACCATCAATTAAAGTTCCCATGAGCTTCACGCATTCCTTTATTAAAGCATCGAATTCTTTCTTCTCTTTTAACATACTTAAATAATACATCTTCTCTGTTAATACTTCCGAAGTCAGTCCTTTATAGGGTATGAATACTAGGGTATTTGCCTCTGTACGGCGTCTCTTTACGTTGAATATCTCTAGCAGTTGTAAGGTGTTAGACAGTTGCACCTCAGCTAAATCCTCTTTACTCATTTCAAGATAGTTCAGTGGAATTACCCCCAACGAATTCATCGGTATATTCAACCCGACCAATGATGATAAAAAAGGAGCTATATCAATTTGTTTGACGTCTTGTTGAGCGCGGTTAGCTTTAACACCCGCACCCCATGCAATAAGAGGGGCTTCAGTTTCGTGCGGGGAGCCCGCTCCATGTGAGCCCCAGTCAGTCATCCCGTGATCAGCGGTGAAAATGAAGGTTGTTAAACTGTCATTATAAATTTCAGAAAAAAGTTTTGATATTCTATCCACATTTCTGTCTACTAGTTGAATATTCCTAATGTATTCCTTGGAATGTGGTTTAAAACCATGTCCCGCTGTGTCTATTCCGAGTAAATGCAGAAAAAACACGTTGCCACTTTGATGGAATTTATCACAATTATGGTTGCATTTCTTGACTTCGTTTAACAAGAATGCTTCCACTCGTTCGAAGACCCAGGTATCTAAAAGTCCGGTATCATTATCTCCGAAATCTTCCAGTTTTGCATCGTAAGTGTGCAGGTTAATGTGATCTAACTTATCTTTGTTAAATATGTGCAATATATCAGGACTTCCCCAGCACCACGCATTAGTACTTTGGTTGATAACCGAATCGAAATAAACAGGGTTAGCCTTCCAACCCTTCATAATAGCGCTGGGGTCTTCGTATATGCCGGCGAGCAATGCTACATGGCCTGGTCTGGACTCTGTCGGTACTCTGGTATGAGCCACACCCCAAGAACCATTATTTAGGATGATGCTGGTTAAAAACGGGATTCGATCAGTGTTTCTTCCGTATACTGCTTCTGCTCTAAGACCGTCAGCTACAAATAAAACTAGTCTTTTGGCCGGTGGATGTGAAATGGACTTGACTAGCTTCATACCATGGTCTAAGGGACTGGAAAAATATATATCGAAAACGGCGAAAAGTATGAGAAAATGAATCAGCAGTCCTAGGATGATAATTTGGTATTTCTTGTTCTTGATTTGTAATGAGTTTTCTTTATTCGTCATAGTGGAAACTGGAACAAAGAATATCCTTCAGTTTTGCAGTTTTGTCGGCGATATGACATTGACAAGAAAACAGTACTAAATTTACCTTTAAAATTTTATTAAATTGTGACATGATTGTGACTTATGACATATTTATTTACGAGAGTGACCATACAGTGACGAATAACATAGATAAAAGAATTTTGTTTAATTGTTTAAGAATTACTTTTTGGCTATTGATGAATAATAAAAAATAATATATTTTTAATGGATGTACTGAACATGAAAGTTGAGGTATAGGAACAATAATATCCCTCAAAGACAATTTATATCGGTAATTGTTGCATATACGGTTTTCGGCTATTTTGGGATTATATAAGAATTTTTTTATATACCTACTCACATTCTATTGTCCTTAGAGATTGCAAATATACTGGGGGAGGAGAGAAATTGTGTTTCTTTAAGTATTTTTTCAATCAAACAAACTTACGGGACCGGGGAGCGAATAGGGGTGCTGGGCGGGGTCAAAACAATAATCTGATTAAGGATACTCATAACACACCCATTTTACAATCTTTAATTAAGCTTTTAATGTAAAATTTCTTAAAAAAACTATGAAGAACTGTTTTATTCAGAAATCATTGGCAGGTTACCTTGAAGGATATGCTGACAGTAGCGAAGGTTGAATTTTGACAAACATTATATATTGATACATGGTTGCCAAATCAGCTAGTAAATTGTCCGGAATTTCATGCATCCTTTTCTTAGGGAAAACTGACGACATATGCTTTAAAATGTTTTTATTTAATTTTTTACTTAGTTTAACAAATTGGCTAAATTGCCGCTAGCGGTATAGAGAATTGCTTAGTTATAGCTCTAGCAATGAAAACACGCTGTGAGCTGTTTGGTTGGTTTGATTTTGGCTGGTTTTGGTTGGTTTGGTTGAGATTGGTTTAGTTTTGGTTGAGTTGGTCTTGTTTGGTTTGATTCTTTTGTCTTTTTTTCGTATGTTAGAAAAATTTTTCTCTTATTTTACCAAAAATGGCATTTTTCCTCAACTCAAGCTCTTTATGTTTGTCTCAACAGTATTAGAATAAAAATTTATTTTTCTGTTTTTTTTAAATGGCTATTTTGAAAATAAAAATACCAAAAAAATTTTAAAGAAAATTCAATGGGACTGGCAACATTGCTTTCCCTTCTGTCGGTGTCATGTCAAATCAAGTTAAAATTCTCATAACGTCAAATATGTGTCAAATATTAAATTAAAATTTATTAATATTTTAAAATATTAATTAATATTTTATTAATTAATATTTTGAAATTCCATGCATAATCTATATTTTCTCAATTTTTTTAAATGGAAAATGCGATTTTTCTATATTTTCAACAAATGAGAATTAAAGCTAGTACTATTTTATGTAAAAAAGGTGCTCTTCGTTTAGTTAGAAAAGGTAACAATGCAAAACCAAGCAAATGCCAACATACTTTAAGTTGTCAACTTATAACATTGTCAAATTCAATATGTCAATTTTCATAATGTATTTATTTCCTAAACTTTAGGATTTTTTCTAATTTGGACAAGTAAAATAATTTTTAAAAATTTTTAAATTACAAAAATGCATTTCGGGCACACTCACTGTAGGTAGTATAACATAACGTTTGTTCCTCATTGGTTTGTTCCAACCAGCATTTCGGGATCGTTTCGAAATCGTACTCCAATCGGTTTTCTTGCACTTTGTTAGCATGCGGGGACTTCGAATAGTTTCGTGACGGTGCAAAAAGTATCAACGTTGGAATGCTTTGTGGATTGTTTCCGGGACTGTCAAAAGTGTATCGATCGGTTTTTTGTTTTTGTTTAAAATTTCATAACATAACCCTATTATTTTTGTTTGCAATTTGCAATAATAATAATTATTATTCTTGAAATGGAGAATCAGAATCCAGTAATTGTTGGTCAGTGTTGTTTCAATTGTATACTCACTAACTCACTTACATACCCATCCTCTCTTTTATGAACCTGTTATGCGTAGTTTTCTGTTATTTCATTGCAGTGGTAGAATCTTTGAACATTATTTTATAAATAAAAAATTAATTAAAATTTCCGAACGATTTACTCCACACAAACTCACAAGCAAAAGTATAACGCACACGTATTCGTATTTGTAAAAAATAACAAGACAGAAGAATCAGCCGGACGCCGGACCAGAATCAGCTGTTAAAAATCAATAATCCCTGCCAATATGCTTTAATGCGCAAGTCAACTCAAACAGTTCTCAATTTGGACTATGTACCGAAATTACCGTTCTGAAATCGTAACTAAACGATCCCAAGGTAGGTTGGTACGCAGATAGGATCGTCCGATAACCGTCCGATCGTTCGGTGACGGTTGTGCGGCGGGTTGGAACAAACCTTTAGTAGCATAGACCGCACAGCAAATTGCATTCAATTATAGGTTGGCACAGGTGGATGACACTTCTTATGGGAGAACTGGCAATGGTTCAAAACTTGACTACAAGCGATTTTCTAGGAATCTTCCTTGCCGATAAATTATTGACACGAGTGACAGATAAAACCTTGACGTTTTTGCAGTAATTGAGTTCATCTCTTTTTCTTTCTAAAGCGTGCGCTGAAAAGAGACAAAAACCATTTTTGGTGATCCATAATTTGTTATTTGAACACCACTGTTGACTTTTCGCCATTTTATTTCTTCTGTTTACACGCTGTAGTTTGCTGTGCAAATTTAAACATAAATTATTTAGTCAAATATAGGATTTTGATAAAACTCCTCGGACTAACGTGTAGGTAAGTGTTGATAAATAATTTTTTTTCATGTTCATTTTCATTCTCCTGATTTAGGTGACAGAAAAGGATCATGAAATCAAACCGAATTTTATATTTTTTAATCCTAGGGGACCGATATAGTAAAATATATATTTTATGGATACCTTCCTAAATATCAACGAGATGAACCATCGGAAGAAAGGGACCATACTACAAAACAGAAAGGTGATCTTTTTTCTTTCCACTTAGGATATTGAAATTATATACTGTATTTATAGTCGTGTTCGGCATTATGCTCTGAGAAATATAGATAAACAAAGAACAACAGATATAAATAAAGCATCCCAGAGAAAAAGAGAGGAAGTACCTGTACTCTCTCTGATATTTGTGAAAGTTACGGCAAAGTATTGTTGTAAATGTCATCTTTTTGATCGACCTGAAAACTTCGAGCAAAAAGATGACACTTTCAACAGTACCCTGACAGATATCAGAGACGATACAGGTTTTTCCTCTCTTTTCCCCTGGAATACTTTTAATTTATTATTCTTTGTTTATCTAGGTTTCTCAGAGCACTATGAACGAACTCAGCTTGTATGTTTGAAATAATCGTCCAGTTGGCTTAAAAATGATGATCGATGACATTTCCCATATAATTTTACTTTCAAAATTATGATATATATCTTTATTTCTAAGCCATCTATGACGCCATTTTTTTTCAGTTTTGTTATAATTAATTTTGTCTCTGGATCTGTACTTGTAAAAAGAGAGTAAAAGTGCAACATATTTTAATGCTAAAAAAGTGTCGATAAATTCATCAGGGACTTCCATATGGATTATCACTCTGGAATCTTTTTCTATAAAAAAAACATATGCGCCACTGACTTTCTTCTTTTGATACTAAAACTGTGTAGGCTATTTAACGCCAATTAAAAGTTATCTCTTGATATTTTGTCGAATTCGGCCTTCTTAATAAGATAAACGCAATTTTATTAATCACAATTAATCAAATTAAAATAAAAATAAAATTTATAAATAATATATTTTACCTAATTAATTATTAAATATTATTACTATTAGTTATTATTACTATTAGTCCAACCAACAGCAATTTCAAATAAAAAAATAATGATATTTAAGATTATTGCAAAAAATCTAACTTTAAAATTTTTAACGTTCTGTAACTCTAAAACTATGCATTTCCATACCCATGTTTATAGAAACTTTTTTTCATATTTTTTGATGAGGAATCAATGAGTACTTATTTAAAACTTTTGCAAGTTAATGATATTAAATTTTTTTAAAGGTTGCTATAATTAACAAAATTGCGTTTATCTCATCGAGGGCGAGATCGACAAAATATCAAGAAACAACTTTTAATCATCATTAAAGTGCTTACACTATTTCGCTAACAAGAGAAACTAAAGTCAGAGGCGTACTTGCTTTTTTTAAAAAAATATTCCAGTGATAACTCATATGCACGTCCCTGGTGAATATGTCGACACTTTTTTAGCTTATAAATTTGTCGCATTTATAGTAACTTTTACACAATCTGTAACATTATTCTTTTAATGTTATTAATTTATTGTGGTGAAATTAATTTCTGTTGTATATTTGATATTGATATTAAACATATGTTTAAAATTTTTTTTTGTGTTTTTATGTATGTCATAATTAAAAATAAATAAAGAATTAAGATTTTTGTGTGATTTTTTTAAAATTCCCGCCATACGTGACAATCTAGCCCGTAGTTCCTACAAGCGATATTGGGGGCACTAGTAGCAGTAGACTTGTCAACAGTGTCAAATTTAAACGTCAATTTCACTTTCCAATATTTAGCAAGGCGCTAGCACTTCTTCTTGTGTATATGTTTTGTGGGATGGCAACTTAAGTATGTTGACATTTGGCTGGTTTGGCATTGTTACCTGTTCAGTTTTAATTTGAAATAAATGCAGTTTTCTTAAACTAGTTAAAAACAGCTTGTCCAAAATTATTAAAATTTGACCCGTGTCGTGTATGTATTCGTCATACCCAGACCCTTAGTAAACCTGTTTATGACTTCGCTAAAAAAAATCAACAGGGGAGCCAATATTTAGACAATTCAAAATTTGCATGGGATATCCTGTTTCCAACGCCGATGCACCACTCGGTATACATAATATACAATAAATTTAAAATAACGAAATTTAACATATAAGTTACCCTATAATATGAAGTCTTTTTAACACAATTTCTTAGGAAAAACGCTAAAATATATAAATCAAACGTTTTCTATGGAATATACTATGTATTCGAATCGACCAATTTATGTGGAATATACTATACCAACCTGTATAAAATGGAATCTGTATATTTTTCTGGCGATTGTTACGAGAGGGCGCTACCTGTACAATTTTGATATTTAACTCTTTGATCTGTGATCATCTGTGATTTAAATTTACAAGCTCCGCCCAAAAAAGTATAAATTATAGAAAAAGTATTGTAAATAATAACAGCATGCATTATTGTGATTACATAAAGTAAATCTTGACAAAATACTCACGATTTCAGCATAACATTAGAGCGAAATAATGTATTATCACAATTCACAATATAAAATCACCTAACCTCTTTTAGTCGATTACATGTTTTCAGTAGGAATGGGCGATAAATATCGACATTATACCAACATCGATATTTCAAAATTCGATGTAAGTATTTTTTACCGTAGATGTGTAAGTTCGAATTATGTATACAGGGTGGCGATGGCGCACCTCATTCGCCTCGGTTGATTATACGAAAACGGAAATATGTAGAAACAAAATAGTTTATGGGTATACAGAGTGGTGCACCTCATTCGCCTCGGTTGATTATACGAAAACGAAGAGATGTAGAAATAAAATATTTTATGAGTATACGTGGGACGTGGGGAGGCAATGTGCACAATTTAAAATTATTTTGAAATATACAGGGTGTTTCAGAACTAAGATCCATATCAAAGTTAAATTTTTTCTTATGGAACACCCGGTATTTTATTTCATTTTTGGATTCTTGGGCCCAAAAAAGGCATTTATTATAAGATAAGGGTTAAATATCTTTATAATCTTTGGTTTTTGAGATATTTAAAGATATTCAAATATGCATGCTACAATAGAATAGATTATTAAAACCCTGTACATTACTTTTCAGAATTAATTCTTGTGCTGTTTAAAGGTGGGGAAATAAATTTTACTCTAAAATAATGTTATTGCTTACTGAAATTTACCCTAAATGAACCCTAATATAGTTTGAAAGAGCATTTGAATCTGCTTCGATTTATTTAAAAAATACAGGGTATTGTATTTGAAATAACGAAGTTTTTATGTAAAATAAATATTTAAAATAGACCAGCAATTTTTGATACCTCTGTATACATTAAACGAAGCAATCAAATTTTTTAGTAAAGTTTATTTCTTTGACTTGAAAGTCAGCACAAGAATTAATTCTGAAAAGCAATGTACAGGGTGTTGACAATCTTTTTTATTATAGCCTTGTATACTAATATTATAGCATGCATATTTAAATATTTTTAAATATCCTAAAAACCAAAGCTTCTAAACATATTTAACCCTTATAATAAATGCCTTATTTTGTGTCCAAGGATCCAAATATGACATAAAATACCGGGTGTTCCATAAGAGAAAATATAACTTTGGTGTGGATCTTAGTTCTGACATACCCTGTACATTTCAAAATAATTTTAAATTGTGCACATTGCCTCCCTACATATACCCATAAAATATTTTGTTTCTACATCTTTTCGTTTTCGTATAATCAACCGAGGCGAATGAGGTGCGCCACTCTGTATGTAGAGAGGTAATGTGCATAATTTAAAATTATTTTGAAATGTACAGGGTATGTCAGAACTAAGATCCACACCAAAGTTACATTTTTTCTTATGGAACACCCGGTATTTTATGTCATATTTGGATCCTTGGACACAAAATAAGGCATTTATTTTTTATCCAAATTATTAATATTTTATAAGGGTTTAATATGTTTAGATGCTTTGGTTTTTGAGATGTTTAAAGATATTTAAATATGAATGCTATAATGAAAAAGTTTTTCAACGCCCTGTACGTTACTTTTCAGAGTTAATTCTTGTGCTGACTTTGAAGCCAGAGAAATAAACTTTACTAAAAAAAATTATTGCTTCCTTAAATGTATACAGGGGTATCAAAAATTGGTCTATTTTAAATATTTATTTTACATAAAAACCTTGTTATTTCAAAACTAAACGTTCTCCAACCCAGTGTGAGTACATATCAATGTAAAACCTCAGACGAGGGGTAGGGGACTCAAAAACTCACATTCTTTTAGGATGAATCCCCAAACATGTCGCCCCAATTTTAAATGAAATTAAATTTTGAAATAAACATCCTAAAAGATTGTGAGTTTTTTGAGTCCCCTACCCCTCGTCAGAGATTTTAATTTGTTATTTCAAATACAACACTATGTATTTTTTAAAATAAGTCGAAGCAGATTTAAATGCTCTTTCAAGCTATATTATGGTTTCCTATACTTAACTGGCTCAGATTTTGAATAAAAAGCGATTTTTCAATAAAATGGTAATTAAGATGGCTAGTTACAGTTAGTAGCTATTTTCAAAATCGACATTAGTTTATGGACTTTATTTAAATTTATAACAGTTTACTTTTATTTAATTTACCTACAATAGTTTAATAAGTATTTATTATTTTCAAGAAATAAATGAAGTACTTCTTTCATTTATATTAGGATGACTTGTAGATTGTAGATATATTGGATTTTTATTGAAAATTATTTCTTGGGATTATGGTCCGTATATTGGATTTTTTATAAAAGCACCAATTAAGACAAATTCATTTTCTTCACCTCCAACGACAGGTTTCTGCCTAATAGGGTTTTCATATACCACACTATCAGCTCTGCGAAATAGGAACAGTAGTTTCACTTTTCAAAGGAACGCTTGATACGAAAATTCCTTTTTGGATACCTTTGAACATAAACCCTTCAGGTCAACAAGCAATTCGTCGTTAATTTCACAAACTGACGTATCTCAAAAAATGCCTGTTTTGAGATACAACCACAAACTCAAACCTAAAATGTGATACTCTTTCATCTCATGAAGTGTCGTATCTCTGCGTCCTATACTTTTCCGGCAAGTAAATAATTTAGCAAATGTTTATTTACTTTAACCGATATCCAAAAGTTAACAAAACCTTTAAACCTCCATTCTGGAAAACTATGAAATATGAGATACGACACTTTGTAAAATTAACGACGAATTGTCCTCACAAAATAAAATCACTAGTAACTAGTAACATATCCATTGCTTCCGCCAGCAGATACTGCTTCATTTTTCTTTATAAAATAATAAATTCTTACTTATTAACCTTATTGTAGGTAAATTAAATAAAAATAACCTGTTATAAATTTTTACACATCAGTCACCAACATATTCCGCAAAAAAAGTCGTTCGCTTCAGATCAAAAGGATTTTTTTTCAAACGTCTCAAAAGTATTAATTTTTGTCATTTTAACGCCGAGACATAAAAGTAAAGCACTGTTACGCCTAAGTACAAAAGTACAAAAATATATTATTAAACTGATATTAAGTGTCAAATTCAACGAGTGTACAAATTGTTGCTCGATTACTGTTTACATTATTTGCAATGTTTGAAATTGATTAAAAAATAATTATTGTAATGTTTAAAAAAATAGTATGTTCTATTCGGAGTAAAAATGTACTTTTTATGCCTCCCTGTAACGTCGGAATAGCTTTACCATGGTCTTTCAAAGGTACAGCATCGTCAAAAATAGTATAATTTTTACTCCTAATTAAACAATACCGCACTATTGTTCGAAAATAGTCTTAAGTCGAGAATGAAATTAGTATGTATTATCTAATGTCAAAGTGTAAAGTACTTACTGCAGATCAAAATGTCGGTAGGAATTTGGAAACATACAGCCGTTTCAAAAACAATATAAAACAACATATTTTCTGACAACGATTGTAGATTCTCGGGAATGAAGATATAGTCTCTATATAAGAAGAACCTAGTCCTGAATTAGACTTTGCGCATGATATGTATTCGGACAGCGAATTTTTGTCACATAAATTTTAATTATATTATATTATGCTATTTATACGGTATTTATAGTCCCATTTCGATAATAAAAAACCTTTTTATTATCTTCCTCTATGGTATTTACCCAACGCCCATCACTGATTATAATGGGTATCGAGTATCGTCGATAAACGTTCGAGTCATCGCTTAAATATTTTCGCCAACTCTATGACCGATAGGGTATAAGGTCGAGTATAGGGTAGTATACATAAACAAACTTTAGATTCTTATGTATATGCTGCGTATGTTTTATACCAGGTATGTTTATACCACTATCTACTATACCTTTCCTTTATAAAATCTAAGTTTAGAACCCAACCCCGCGAGTAGCGTGGGAATCTGCTAAGCCACCGACGACGTACCGGATTTTGCGAAAACGCTCCTCTTGAGCGCTGGGCGTACTATGAAGTACCGTAAGATCCGGTCTGCCGATAAGACCCCACCAACCGAAGTCAACCATCCGACGACAGCTTTTGACGGTCCTGATTAATTTCATTTCTGACAATGAAGACCAGTGTTGCTAATCAGCGGATAAGTACGATTTGCGGATATAATTCGGATCTTGAAAATATCAGATATTATTCGGTCAAATTATCGCAAACTATACAGGGTGTATCCTAAATAAATTCAAATATTTTATCTGGTAATAGGTATATTTCGGTCCCATAAATACGCCCATAATAGCTATTTATGTAACTAGTACCTAAAATGATGTTTTTTAGGACGAATCATTACTGTTTGCGGACGAGGCGTTAGCCGAGTCCGAAATAGTAGATGAGTCCTAAAAAACATAATTTAGGTACGTGTTACATACACTATTTTTTGTCATACGCTTTTTACAGTTTTTTAGAACGCATATTTGCAAATTTTCCATATTTGAAATTATAATGTTTGAAAAAGTTATTTATAAATTCATATCTTAGTAACGAGTTTGTTTATTTCATCGCATTTTGACATGTCATTCGAAATTTGTCACAAAATCACACAAATTCATCAACAATTTTAAAATGTTCCAAAATCCCGAACATATTGCTAATAAGGCCAAAGAAATCGTGTTGGATTTACTTCCTGTGAAGTCTCGTGCCATTTACCAGAAAGAATATGATGTTTTTTAATGAATGGAAAGACAAAAATGGCGTATTCGTTGTAAATGAAGATGTATTGCTAAATTATTTCCACGAAAAAGTAAGTACCTAGGTACCTATTTAAAGAGGCTTTTAAATTAAAATATTCTTAAATTACAGTCACAAACATTCAAACCATCGTCAATTTGGTCGAAATATTCCATGCTGAGAGCAGTGTTAAGTGTTAAAGAAGATATTTATATTGACAAATTTCCAAAACTTATTGCTTTTTTGAAGAGGAATTCGGTTGGTTACGAGCCTAAAAAGTCTAAGGTTTTGTCCATAAAAGAGATCGGTGATTTTTTGGCCACGGCTAGTGATGAAACTTATTTACTTACTAAGGTAAGTTTGCGATAATGATTTTTAAAATATATAGATGGTTTCTTATTCCATTGTATTTGATTTTTTAGGTAGCTCTTGTCATTGGCCTTTGTGGAGCATGTAGAAGAGAAGAATTGTACTCTCTACGAGTGCAAGACATCATAGAAAAAGACAACAGCTGCCTTTTAGTTACCCTTGCGGATACAAAAACTAATATCAAAAGAGTGTTTCCGGTGGTGAACGAAGGGAACGTTGTCAATCCAGTTGAGTTGTATAGAAAATATGCTTGTCTTAGGCCAAAAAATGTACCACATGATTATGTCTTCATCTCTTATCGTAAAGGAAAATGCACCGTGCAACGAGTCGGCATTCATTCATTTGGGAAGATGCCATCGATTGTAGCAGCATTTTTAAAGTTGTCGAACCCAAACGAATATACAGGTCATTGTTTCCGACGTAGTTCTGCTACTCTTGCTGCAGATGCAGATGTGGATTTTACATCGCTGAAACGCCTAGGAGGTTGGAGGTAAAAATTTTAATATTTTCCGATCTTGTTCTAAACAACAATAATTATTTAGGTCGTCCACAGTGGCCGAAGGTTACATAGAAGAATCTATTGAGAAAAAGAAGAAAGTTTGCAAACTGCTAATGGGGGAAAAGAAAATCGCGACCACTTCCACGGATGTATTACCAAGTACATCATCGTTCGCATTTACTCCACCTCATCAGAAAGTAAATTTACCTGCCAATGGAGGAGTCGTTTCGATTGCAGATGCAAGTTTTCAAAATGCACAAAATTGTTCATTTCATTTTTATTTTTCCAAATAACTTAGCTTTTGATATTGTTAGTATTTAATAATTTAAAAATCAAATACAATGGAATAAGAAACCATCTATATATTTTAAAAATCATTATCGCAAACTTACCTTAGTAAGTAAATAAGTTTCATCACTAGCCGTGGCCAAAAAATCACCGATCTCTTTTATGGACAAAACCTTAGACTTTTTAGGCTCGTAACCAACCGAATTCCTCTCTCAAAAAAGCAATAAGTTTTGGAAATTTGTCAATATAAATATCTTCTTTAACACTTAACACTGCTCTCAGCATGGAATATTTCGACCAAATTGACGATGGTTTGAATGTTTGTGACTGTAATTTAAGAATATTTTAATTTAAAAGCCTCTTTTAAATAGGTACCTAGGTACTTACTTTAAACAAATAACTTAGCTTTTGATATTGTTAGTATTTAATAATTTAATTATAAATATATGTATAATTTTATGTGATTTTGTGACAAATTTCGAATAAAATAAAACAACCAAATAACGAATTTCGGACATTTTAGTCCATAAAGGTTACATGACGACCTTTACGGCCTAAATAAAAAGAAATATTTTACGGACTGGTAATGAGTCCGTAAAATAGCTGTTTTAAATACGTATGACAAAAAGATTTTTTGTAAAAAAATATTTTTATTCAATTTTTGTGGTATTATATTTGTTCGGGAAATTAAAAAAAATGTTCCTCAGCCTTGCAATGTTGCCGTTACTCACATTCTGTATATTTGTGCATATACCGGGTGCGTCTCAAAAGTGGCTCACCACTATAACTTTTTATTTTTTCAGATAAAAAACGAGATTTGGTATGTTAGTATATATGACATAAAAGAGGATTGATTGAGGTATACAATTGTTTTCTGTCACTTCCTGTTTCACCGAAAATAACTACATGATTGATTTTTAAATGACCTCTCGGTATTTTTTACTTGATAGAAAATGGACTCGCTACGAGCTGAACTCAGAGAATTCTGGAAATATTTTCAGCAATTTTTCAATGGAAAACAGAATAGATCTCGTATTCCTGGCACTCTTAGAAACAGTGATAATACTCCTCTTGACAATCCCACTGACATTTTGCCAATTTTTTCCAAGGTGCTTATATTGTTTCAAGCCCTAGCAATGTCTCGGATGAATGTGGTAATAGTATTTCTTTGGACCCATTTGACACCGAAGATGTGCTGAAGGCCTTAAAGTTCACTAAAAATGGCTGGCCCAGATAAAATACCTTCCTTTCTTATAAGGGATTGCGCTTTTGTTCTGGCTGAACCATTAACTAGACTTTTTAACCTTTCTATCTCAACACAAACATTTCCTAGTGTTTGGAAGCAAGCCAAGATTTGTCCAATTTTTAAAACGGGCAACAGAGATATCATTGAGAATTATCGTCCGGTCTCAATTCTATCCAACATTGCAAAGGCCTTCGAGAGGTGTATACATAATAAACTATTTTTCAAAATTAAAAATTTGATAACACCATCTCAACATGGCTTTTTTCCAGGGCGATCAACTGTGACAAAGTTAACATGCTTTCTTGAATATACATATAACTCTATCGATGAAGGTTATCAGGTTGATGCTGTTTACACAGACTTCTCGAAGGCCTTTGATAAGATGAACCATGGGATTATGGCAGAGAAATTGTCACAAATGGGATTTGATAATAAATTAATAAAGTTCTTTTCCTCATATGTACATCAACGCAAGCAATATGTTGAATATAATGGTCACAGATCGTGTCCCTTTATAGCAACTAGCGGTGCACAGCAGGGTAGCTGTTTGGCACCACTGATATTTTCAAATACATAAACGATATAGTGACCCAATTAAAGAGCTGTTCGCTTTTATTTGCAGATGATCTGAAGATTTTTAGTGTCGTCCGGTGTAAGGATGATTGCATCCGTCTGCAGGCCGATCTTGATATTATCTCTAATTGGTGCGTGGAAAATCGACTTGCTTTAAACACCTCTAAATGTAAAAAAGTGTCCTATTCTCTGAAACGTATTGAACTTGACCACCCCTATACCATAAATAGCGCAATCCTGGAAAATTGTGAGCATGTTAAGGACTTAGCTGTTTACTTGGATAAGAAACTGACTTTTAACATACATATTGATGAAGTATTCCGTGGCGCTCTTAAATCTTTAGGATTTCTCCTGAGATCCACAGAGGGTTTCAATAGTCCATTATGTCTAACGGCATTATACATGAGCCTTGTGAAATCAAAAATCAATTATGCCTCTCAAATTTGGTCACCAATTCACCAGGACCATATCCGGAGATTAGAAAATGTTCAGCGTAAATTCCTAAAATATCTCTCGTTCAAACTGGATGGTGTTTTCCCAGAGCGTGGTTATAACTACTTACAGCTGTTGCAAAGGTTTGATCTTTTATCTATTGATTTGTTATATTTTGCATTGTACTTTTATTGTTGACATGTGGTTCATAACGACAATTTGACTCGAAATACCAAAATGTGAACGGTCATGCGGACTGCGCTTCGCTATTAGCTCGGCTGAACTTTCAGCTCCGCTCGTCCGTACTAGAAATCAAAACACGTTCTACCTGTCAAACGTCAGTACTTGTTTAGCCGGTAAAGCACCCCTCTACCGGGCCTGTACTGATTTCAATGATGTTGAGAGCCTGGCATCTGTTGATATATTTGGCGACTCAGCGTCATCATCAGGAATGTTTTGGTCCGGCAAATGAAGAACTTAGCATTTTTTGATGATTTTTTTATTGTAGTTCGTTAGAATTAGAGTTTTACTTTCACTTTTAAATCTATACTAGGTGTTTTTTTAAGATTACATATAGAAGACTTAAATCTTTTGCATTATTGTACTTTTATTGTTGACATGTGGTTCATAACGACAATTTGACTCGAAATACCAAATGTGGTCTTAAATTACTTGTAAAAAATTCTTTTTCCAATCAAATGCTAATGAGCCACTCTCAATGAAGCTTAGGTAATTACCTACAAAAAAAATGATTCTTATTAGTTTTTACCTAGGATTAGTAGTTTTCGAGATATTCCGCCTCGAAAATTCCTCAATTTTCTCTCAAAGTCTTAACGTTCCGAAGATAGATTTCATCAGCGTATCATTGATTGGTAGGAAAAATTGTTTAATAACTCGGCTAAAACTTAATATTTTTTGATGATTTATTTAAAAGGTAGATTTTTTCTAAAAATATGTATATAAGAATCTGACTTAAGCCTTTTATAAAAAGACACATTTTTTTAATGACCAGTTTTTTTTAAAGACTTAAATCTTTTCCGAGACTTAAATTTCGGAAAAAAGATTTATATCACGAATCATTTTCAAAAAGACTTAAATTTTAAGTCTTAAGTCAACTTTCGAAAAATGACTTAAAATCAAATTACCTACTTAAAATGATTTAAATCAAAAAAAGACTTAAGTTTTCTGATGTGAGCTTGTATCTTAAGATGTTTATTTTCTTCTCGATAATAGTTTGGAGAATTACAACAATGCTTTTGTGGCACTTAGAAAATTATTTACTTCAAGTCATATGTATAAACTGAAGTTATTAAAATTAATTAAAGTATTATAAAAAATGGATGTTTATGATTTATTATATGTAAATAGATGTAACATTTGTTACCACCAAAACATAATTATGTTACCTTATAATACCTATCTCTAAATAAAATTTATTTTTTGGAGATAGACATTTTTCTATGAATTATTTCTTATAAAATGCTCCAAAAAGTCATCTTCTAAATGTTTTAGTTTACTAAGGAAATACCAAATATAAACGAAATGCGTAACTTAAGAAAATTCTGGCCAAATTATATCAATTGCCTGTCCAACTATCCCTTCAGTGGCCATTCGAAAACGATTATAAGCTCCTATTAAGTTATTAATTTCTGTATAAACAGAATTATCTAAGCTACTCTTTAATCCTTGACATTCCTTGGCAACAATTCCACGGTCGGTTTCGGAATATATTTGATTTATACCATAAACTATATCATTATAAACGTGTTTGATTCCTTTGAAAATTTTGTTATATTTTTCAAATAAAATATCATCATCGCGGTTTTTTTCCGCATCTTCTATGATATTGGAAATTCTATTTTGACACAAGCGATACGTTTCCAATGTAACTGTTAATTTCTTCTTATGGTTAGTACTCGTTTCATGTGCTTCTACTTCTAAAATTCCATCTTGGTTAAGAAAGAAATTTGTTTGAAATTCTACATCACCAGCTTTTCCTTTGGGCAAATTATTTATGGTAAATTCACCCAAAAGGTTATTGAAGGCACAATTTTTTCTTTCGCCTTCAAAAATTTTAAATGCTATATTTTTTTGGTTATTTACTGCTGTGGCTAATTTCAGGCATCCTTTTGCTGGTAATGGGGTATTTTTCATAATTGCGATTTTCATTAAACCACGTGATAGTTTAACTCCTACAGATAAAGGCGTTACCTCAGCAACGTTATACCTTTCCAATTCTACACATTTATTTTTTATGAACGAAGCTTGGATCGCAGCACCCAAAGCAACAGCTTCATCCGGATTCAAGTCGGTTTTTATTTTTCTAGAGTCAAAAAATGCTCGGAGTTCTTCGCGAATCCTCGGCATTCTTGTCATTCCTCCGATAAGGAGGACGTTACCTATATTATGATTTGACAGTCCCACATCGGCGAGACATTTCTGTACCAAGTCTAAACCTCTTCTAGTTATCGAATGTGTTAGCTCGTTATATTCGTGTCGTGTTAGTGATATGTTAAAGACATTATCACTCATATTTATTATACAATCTAAAGCCAGAGAACACTTTGTTTTGTCGGATAGTTTCTCTTTGAGAACAGAACATTTTTCTTTTAACGTCCTTATGAGTCTCGGGGTGATAACAGTTTCATTAAATTCTTCAATTAATTTCGTTTTAAAATAATCTACTAACAAGTTATCGTAGTCTCTACCGCCTAAGAACGTATCTCCTTCCACGTTCAACACTTCAAATTTTTCTTTACTGACATTTACTATGGATACATCCGTCGTTCCACCTCCCATATCAAATACCACAATCTTCCTTTCGACATCCCACTTATTATGCGTGTAATGGATGGCTCCAGCAACCGGTTCACTGACCAGCTTCAGTACTTTCAGTCCAGCCAATTCTGCTGCTGCTTTGGTTGCTGCTCGTTGCGCATTGCTGAACTGAGCCGGAACGGATATAATGGCTTCAGTTATTTTAGCTCCAAGGTACTCACTGGCTGACTCGCGAAGGTACTTCAATATTTCAGAACCAACTTGTTCCGGCGATTTGTGTACCGTCGAATCATCATGTCTTATTTCGTATTCTGCTTTATCATCTTCACCTGAAACTATTTTGAATTGGTAGTCGCTTCGGGTTTTCAGTTCTTGAACGTAGGCGTCATCAAATTTTCGACCAATAATCCGTTTAGCGTCTGAAATTGAAAAAATTGCATATTAATATAGATATTTTATGAAAAGAATTAATTAATTAGACAATTTATGTCTGAGTTATTTTTCATGCTGTTGTAGAATGTAGAATGAGTGGGAGAGGAGTTAATCACCGCGACTTTAAAGATCTATTGTGTCCCCCTGTCTTGAGTTATAACTTATCATATAGTCTATAATTCATCATACACAGGGATTTGTATGACATCTACATCCTACGAGAGTATACACCCTTCCAAAGTTTTTGGGGGTTTGGCCCTCCATGCTCTTTACAGTCGAGGGACTTGTCTCGGATTCAGGTACCCGTGAGGTGGAGGCTCGAGGATCTGTCTCCATTTTCTCCATTTCTTTAACTTGGTGTCTCCTTAGACCTGATACCGATGTTGTCCCGAATCTATAATAGAGGACATATATCTTTCTCTATTGCCTCCGGAGGGCAAAAGAAAGATTACGGTGGCAAGGATTAGTCGATCCACTTCTACAGAGCCCCGCATGTGGAAGTAAGGGAGACGAGAATACAACGGGTTGTTCCGTGGTGCCCCAAGGTTGGAACCACTAGAGGCTAGTTATCTATTTAGCCACGCATACCTTTGACCTGGTCCCGCCATCGTAGGATTTATATTTTTGGTGAGATGTTTCCCCTTGGTTCGACCGGCTAAGCCAAGACGTCTTCCCCTTCCCCACGCCCTCTACCGGTGATAAATGACCACGATACTACAGCAAGGCAAGCGCGCATATACAAGGGGGGGGGGGTAATGAGGGTAATTATCCCTCCCAGGAAGAAATTTATAAATAAGTTGAAATATGGCATAAAATAAAATGGCCACAAAAGAAGTTAATAAAACCAAGCAAAATATACGAAATTCAGACCAATCCAAGAGTGTTTTGTCAATATCACAATATCTTTCAGGGCAAAATCAATGTAAACCTAGTTATTTCTTATTCTATGCCTAGTACTTTACTTAAACACTGCCACTATCTCTCCTAGATTAGGAGCTTTCCCACCAATGACAAGGTCTCGCATGTCCTAGAGGAAGTTTTATGCAGTTAACTACTGGTGTCAAATGTGGATGAGTCTCGATTTTCCTTGGTAAATAAGTTTAAAATCTATTACGAAATCTCCCCACGAGATGGCACATGTTTTTTGAAACAACCTGTATAAAGCTTTAAAATACATCAAAATTTTAAAGTGCCCGTTTTCGTCCCGGTGTACAACAATATTTTTAATTTTTATTAATGTTAAATTATTAATTGTGTATACTTTTTAAACTATTCTTGAAAATTTCCTCAAATTTTTGGATTCTCTAGGTAATCTTTCCATGTTCTCAAAATATCTTATACGGACTATTCCATACGGTTGAATCTACGTACCGAATATAAAGTTATTTGGACAGTTTGGTGCTAGATCTTCAGCATCAGTTCCAACAGCCACTTCCAAACTGCTGGGGTCGTAGAATACGTAGGAAGGTGTTAACCTATCTCCATTCTTGTTCGGAATTATTTCTACTCTTCTTTTTCGGTAAACAGCGACTAGCGAGCGCGATGTGCCTAAATCAATCCCAATAACTGGCACTCTGGGCATCTGATGATCAAATAAAAATATTTATTAGATCTATTTATATTACCAGCATAAAAGTGCAAAGTCTCACTTTGGTTGCAAATGAGTATTGCCAGATGTTCCGCCTAAGTTAGCGCGTCTATCAAAAATTCGCCGCGCTACAAGTGCGCGACATGCTTTAGGCGCGATTCTCACTATAACCTGTGCTATAACGCACCGCTATCGTCACGTCGAGCCGCCGGCATGCCGCCGTCCGGGCCCCCACGGTAAATATTCTTAAATTCACTTTAATCATTCACACCACCCGTAAAGTGGCAACGTCCGTCTCCCATTTACTTCATGTTTTATGTCGAGAATGCGCAGGCGCGGCTGCTCGACGTGACGGTGACGGTACGTTATAGTGAGAATCGCGCCTTATGGGGGACAGTCCCGCTTTTTGAATTGAAGTCAGGCCCGTTTTTAAGTAAATTTTCCGGCATTTCCCGGTTTTTCACTATCTACCTATAAAATTAATTTTTTAACTATTTATAATACGCAAAACTCAGATGCAAAAGAAAACGCAACGGAAAAAAATGTCGTCAAATTTAAAGTTTTAAGTCCTATTTTTATGAATATTTTAGCAAACTGTATACAGGGTATTCCAGTTCAAACGAAACAAGGCAATTTAGGTGTGGAAAGGACAAAACGGTGAAACACGTCAACTTTATTTTCGAAGAGGAAATAAAATGCCACTATTTTTGAAGCCCTTAGTTCAAACCCCATGCGGGGGTGACATCCAGCCTTAAAATCTTAAATGTAATGCGGGGTCGAGTAGCACATCATTTCAAAGGTTTTAAAGCCTCTTTTCAGCGCCGTCTCATTTTTGGAGTTTTTGTTATATTTGGTGGAATCGGGTTGAAAAATAAACTTTTTCATAAATTGATGATGATTTGATATTTGATTAATTATACAGGAATCGAAATGGGGTCTAAAATAAAAAAATAGATTAAATCAACAAGATTTTGCTTAATGAATAATACACAAAAAGTAGTACCCTGCTTTGAAACAATCGTGGCGATTTACTGTTCCGTAGATGAAAAATGTACACTCATCCTACTAGTTGATCAGAAACAAAAATGTAAACAAGTTTTTGGTAGGTAAAAAATTGTTTTTATTAATATCTTATCCTGTTTTGAGGCAGTACTGCTAAATATTTTTCATCTTGTCATTCAGTTTGGAAGTATTCTTAATATTTTGTACGGCTTACTGTTCTTAGTGTTATCGTAAGAGTATATAGTATTATTGTGAATTGACGTGATGGTTTATTCTACTGCAGATAACTTTGAGATAATTGAAACTTTCTTTAGTCAAGACGGATGTGGCAATAGAACGGCACAGTTATTTAATGACCGACATCTAGATAAACATGTCAATAGTATGTCATAAGTACGTGTTGGAATTAGTAGCTAAATTTAGAGAAACTGGAAGTGTTTACAAAGAAGCGAGAAGTTTCACCTGGTGATGCAAAGGCCAACGACGCTCTAGGCGATGCAAATAATAGTTCTGGGACAAAACCATGCCGAACCAAGAATGAGTGTTAGACAATTGACAACAGCCACAGCAATAAGTAAGAGTAGTGTTCACAAGATACTAAAGTTCCACAAATTCCAGCCTTACAAACTACATCTGGTCCAAAAATTGAACGAAGATGATTACGACCGACAATTACAATTCCGTGAAGAACTAAGTGAAATACTCATTGCTACTCCACGTCTTCTTTTCAACATGTGCTTTTAGGAGGAATGTACAGTGTGTCCCATTTTGGTTGAAATCATAGGGTATCTCCGTTATTAGTGAAGATAGAAGGGTGCGGTTTGCACAAACCTGTCCCACTTTTTCGTTAAACGGAAGATGCTGCAAACAAAATTTTCATAGCCCTCTTCATTTCTGAGCTACAGGGTCTTTTCAAAAATTTTGCAATTTGGGACACCCCCTGTATCTCTGTTATTGTTAAAGGTATCGAGAAGGCGAAAACTGCTTATTGTAGAACTTTTTACGTAGAATACAGTGGCGTAGTCTGTTTTTCTACCAAAAAAATATTTTTGAAAATATGAACTAAAGTTATGTTTTTTCAAATGGAACACCCTGTATATTTATAAATCATATGATCTGTCTTGCTACGACCTTCTCAAAAATATATATCCCTCTATATTTATTATCAATTTACTGCAATATTTAAAAGTTTTCATTAAAAGATCATATTTATTAGTAGGCCATGATTGATAATAAAAGAAACTAAAGAATTATTAAAAGTATACTGCTATCTGTCTCTTGTTTTATTTTGGGAGCCGCTAATAAATTCTTTATATATTAGGGAAACTTAACTCTCTACCGCTATTTGTAAATCTTGGAATACGTGTATACATAAGAATAATCTATCGTATCGGAAATTTTAGGTATTTCTTTAGCTAATTTACGTGAAATATGCTTTCAGCAAGATGGGGAACATTCCCCCTCATAACTATGGAAATATTAGAATACTGTTAAATTATTATTTTTCAAATCAATGAATTGGAACCAATGAACGCATATTGATAACCTCCTCGATTCCCGGATTTCGCCGTTCTCAATTTCTGCTTTTGGGAATTTTTGAAATACGAAATATATCGTAGGCACTACAACAAAGTCGAACACCTGAAAAATGCTTTAATAATTCAAGATTTAGATATCTAAATGGAAATATGTATCTGAATATTTAGGAAAATGTCACAAATCCCAGCATTATACAAATAATTGAGAATGAAGATCACTATGACGAAAGTCAACTTGTGTTTCAACAAGATGGAGCTCCTCCACACTATGCTGTACTTGTGCGGCAGTATCTTGATGAAACATTTCCCGGTCGGTGGATTGGAACAAGGGGACCCTTTCTTGAATGGCCAGCTAGGTCACCGGATTTGTCTCCGCTGGATTTCTTTTTATGGGGACATTTCAAAACAGAAGTATTCGCCACGCAACCGGAGACAGTAGAAGTATTACGTCAAAGAATTGTACACGAGTGCGCGGTTAAACCAAACCAAACCAAACCAAACACCCGAAATATTATAACACGCCCGAGAACGCTTTGAGCAGAATCTGTATTCGTCCATGAAAGCACGATGGGGGTGCTCAATTTGAACATTTAATCAAGTAATTGTTTCAAAGCAGGGTACTACTTTTTGTGTATTATTCCTTAAACAAAATCTTGTTGATTTAAACTAAATTTCTTATTTTAGACCCTGTTTCGATTCCTGTACAATTAATCAAATATCAAAGCATTTTCAGCCCGATTCCACCAAATGTGACAAAAACTCCAAAAATGAGACGGCGCTGAAAAGAGGCTTGTAATAACTTTTCAAATGATGTGCTACTCGACCCGAAGGGTGGATGTCATCCCCCCGTGGGGTTTGAATTAGGGGCTCACAAATTGTCGCATCTTATTTTCACTTCGTTGACTTATTTCACCGTTTTGTCCTTTTCACACCAGAAATGCTTTTAAATTGCCTTGTTTCGTTTGAACTGGGACACCCTGTATAAATATATCTACAGGGTGGCGCACCTCCTTTGCCTCGGTTGATTATTCGAAAGCGGAAAGATGTAGAAACAAAATATTTTATGGGTATATGTGGGAATAGTAAAAGTAATGTACATAATTTAAAATTATTTCCAAATATACAGGGTGTGTCAGAACTAAGATCCATACCAAAGTTATATTTTTTCTTATGTAATACCCGGTATTTTATTTCATTTTTGGATTCTTGGATATAAAATAAGGCATTTATTATAAGGATTGAATATGTTTAAAAGCTTTGGTTTTTGAGATATTTAAAGATATTTAAATGCATGCTATAATAAAAAGCTCGTAAAAAAGTTTGTCAACACCTTGTACATTACTTTTCAGAATTAATTCTTGTGTTGACATTCAAGCCAGAGAAATCAACTTTACTAAAAAAAATGATTGCTTCTTTAAACGTATACAGGGGTATCAAAAATCGCTGGTGTATCTTAAATATTTATTTTACATAAAAACTTTGTTATTTCAAATACAATACTATGTATTTTTTTGAACTAACGGAGATTTTTCGAACTTATTACAATATTTATCCCAAAGTTATACGATAAGTAGTTTCTGAGCTACAGCCGGCATCCATTCTTAGTTGGCCACCCGGTACAGCGTTGTTTTTACACCCATGTTAAATATTTATACTTTTTTTCATATTATTTATTTTAAAAGTTTATAGAACTATCACTTTTTTATTAAGAAATGTCTCATTAATTTAAAATTTACCGTAAGGTATAATATATCTCTTAATTACTAAATAAAATATAATAAAGGATTTACTCACCTTTTATTAGTGTACAACTGATACGCTTGATTATATGGACAAAACTGACACTATTATTATATCGAATATAAACATTAAATATTAATTTTGGCGATAATTTTTATCGATAATCCTATATCTAATCGAATGCAATTTCAGTTGAATGCATATTTTCAGTAAGACGATAAATAGTAGGGGAGCCCAAACGGGGATTTTGGGATTTACTCAAATACGGTAGGACATAAGAGAAGAAACCTTGCACCCTGCTTAGTACCTCCGCCATACATGAATACAGGGAAGTCGATTCGAATAGTAGGCAAATTGAGTTAATTTTATTCAGAACATGCAGAAAAGTGTGCATTTAAATAATATAATAATTTAGGCGTGACATAAGCAGAGCTGCAACAAGTCACTTTTAAAAAGACTTAAGTCTTTAGTCCTAAGTCAATTTCAAAATAAAGTTCAAATGACTTAAGTTTTAAGTCTTTGATTTAAGTCATTTTCTTTCAAGTCAAGTCATTTTTGTAAAGACTTAAGACTTAAAACTCAAGTCTTTTTTTACTTAAATCATGATAATCTGCAAGTTAAGTCAGTAAAATGGCTTAAATCAATATAATTTCCTTCAAGTCAAGAGAACCAGAATTCAATTTAAATATCTATTTTTTAATTGTTAATATTAATTTATTGCAGATATAGATTAAAATTGTACAGATTGTTCCATTTTTGTCTATTTTACAGGGTTTCTCGTTTATGAGCAGCGGTAAAAATATACGGTTTTAACAGTTGCTACTTTTTTATGAAACTAAAGCTGGTAAATACATATTTGACGCCGCTGTTAAAAATTTACGAAAAAAATATATGAGAAAAAAGACTTAAATCTTTTCTAAAAAGACTTAAATCTCATAAAATACTTAAATATTTTCAAAGACTTAAGTCATTAAAAAAATAATTAAAAAAATAATTAAATCTTTTTTAAAAAGACTTTAATTTTTTTAAAAAACTTAAATCTTTTTCTATTCCGGAATAAAGACACAAATTCTTTTGAAAATGACTTAAATTTTAAGTCTTGTCAGCTTTTGAAATATGACTTAAAATCAAATGATTTAAGTCATTAAAAGGTTTTAAGTCAAAAAAAGACTTAAGTTTTTTGTGAGCTTTCAGCTTTATTCAATAGATAGATTTTTGAGTAAATAAATAATTTTCCGTAACGTCCTGATACTTAGTTAGGTTCCACAAACCCATACCAAACAGAAGCTGCTTTAAAACTTAACTGTCAATTTTCTAGAAATCTCGTAATGTTTGAAAAATAGTTTTTCCGTTAAAACAAGTTGATGCTAAAGGTTCTACCGAAACCATAAATATCCTAAAATTTTTGCCAAATTGACATGTATTGATTATTTCAAATCCGAACATCTCTATATTAGTTATTTTTTGTAATTTTTACCAAGATATCTATTACGTAAAAATGACGAAACTATTTGTCCTTAAATAAATTTAATATTAACTGGAGTTAGCCTTGCCTTGCATACCTTTTGTTTTTAAATGAATTAATGTCTTAAAATCGCGAAATTTCTAGAAAACTTACAGTTAGGTTTTAGAACGGCTTCAGTTGAATCCAGGGGCCGGAAAGTGAAATAGCAAAAGCGGTTCCACCGTTTCCATGGAAATTTCAAATAAAATAGTTCCAGCCTCGGGCGCTAGGTGGTAGTGCAATTAATTTTTAGGTTAAGAAGTTGCTACTAGTTATTGCCAGATGGCGTTCAATCAGATTTTTTTTGTAGTTTCCATAGTTTCCAACGGCCATTGCATACTATTGTCAAATTCTCAAAAAATATTGTCGTTGTCATAGCGCCAATCATAATATTATCAAAAATGATTATCAAAACGTTTTTCAAACTATAATTTGTTATATGTGTTTTTATTAAACAATTCCGTTTGTTTGTGGCCCTAAAAATATAATGTAAGTCTTTTATTTTTGCCATCATTTAAGTACCTATTTATATTTACTCAATTTACAAAACTTTGGGCGTATTACGTTGGTCTTGTTTTATTATAATAAACGATGTTTAAATATTTGACTTATAAATAAAAACTTTAAATAATAAATAATATTTACACATGTTTGGCTTTAATTTTATTTAATAATTGTATACATTATACTGTTAAATCTTATTTTTTACACATCATAACGATACTTGTTATTAGTATTGTTGAATTTGTGTAAAAAATAAGATTTAATAATCAAATTTAATTATTTTAGAATAAAATTCATTCAGCGCGGGCTCATTTAAAAAGCCCGCGCTTCGATCCATTTAAAACAAGCCCTACTCAATAGATGGCGCCACTTCTGTAGGACCATTTTTCAGTATGGCAGAGTCCATTCTTTTTCTAGCTAGGTATATTCTTTGGTTGAATCTATGATACTAAAATATGTCAAAAAATTTCTTTCTAGTGAAAATCTTTAATTTTTGTCATTGATGACAAGTATTGATTATTAAGAAACTAAATACCTCGAGAACGGTTGCTCGTACCAAGCTTTTTATTTTTACCAAGAGACATTTTTTTACGTAAAATAAAGTGTATAATACTCCGAGATACTAGGATAATTTTCATCCAAATACCGAATTTAATTCAGAAATAATCGAATTAAAAATGAAACTTCTACACCCTGAAGGCAACGGCCCAGCCAGGGAGGTGACCAAAGAATATACCTAGCTAGAAAAAGAATGGACTCTGTCACACTGAAAAATGGTCCTACAGAAGTGGCGACATCTATTGAGTACGGCTTGTTTTAAATGGATCGAAACGCGGACTTTTTAAATGAGCGTATTTGTTGAATTTTACTCTAAAATAATTAAATTTGATTATTAAATCTTATTTTTTACACAAATTCAACAATACTAATGAAAATTATCGTTGTGACGTGTAAAAAATAAGATGTAACAGTATAATTTATACAACTATTAAATAAAATTAAAGCCAAACTACAAAAAAAATCTGATTGAGCGCCATCTGGCAATAACAAGTAGCAACTTCTTAACCTAAAAATTAATTGCACTACCACCTAGCGCCCGAGGCTGGAACTATTTTATTTGAAATTTCCGTGGAAACGGTGGAACCGCTTTTGCTATTTCACTTTCCGGCCCCTGGGGGTGACAGTGAAATAGGAAAATTAGAAACAGTCATTAGTGTCATTCCTGTCATTCTCTTCACGACAAGTATGACCGCCTAGACAAGGACAGCATTGTTTATGTCTAACTATTGTCTAACTTCACAGTTTAGAATTGACAGATTTCAGTTTCAGAGACAACTTCAGATTTGTTATAGAACAAATTAGAAAATATTCGACGCCATTTTAATTCACTCCGTTTAGTTTTGTTTTGGAAGTTCAATTTAATATTTCGGCTGAAATTTATAAATATAAAGGTAATAAAGTATATAAAATATATATTACATGAAGAATCCTGGAGAAAATGACGTTTCTGCAGTAATAGGTATGTCCCGTGTATATGAAAAATAGGTAGTAAATAAACACTGTTTTTACATTTTTTAGATGCAACAAAAAGGGGCGTTATAATCTCTTTGATCGGCGATTTTTTTTAAAAATGGAAACAATTTATTGCAAGGTAAGATCATTTTTAACTATAACCCACACTAATTATCTGCAGTATGTGTGGTTTATTATATATAATACAATAAATCTATGAGGTACATATTAGGTGATAAATTTGTTTTTATACCTTATTATAAAATGTAAAAGGGAAATTAGGTTTATTTCGTATTTATTTTATTTTCAAGTTTTGTTAAATTTCCTAAATGCATTTTAGTGTAGACTTAGTATATTTATAAAATAGAAAACAAATTTCTTGCAGTATAGGTATATAATAAAATTATATAAGGATTCTTGCCACTTAACTGCTGATATAGAAATTTAATTCTACGCAGTGTTCGTCATAATGTGGATCAACAATTATAAATTTTTACATTGTTAGTTTTGGATTAAAAAATCTGTTTTTCTGTTTTCAGGTTTTTGTGTAAGGCTCCCCTTTTCATGTTCCTGTGTCCGTTTTCTGTCCTTGAAGTCTGCGAATACGTGTGTTTATTTACAAATTACTGTAAGTCATGCTTATACCTTAACTAATTTACGTTAAAAGTGCATATAATTAACTAATTGATATTGAAACAATAAAATCCTCTATATTTTTATATTTATTTAGTCACGTTGTTCCATATTTCAAATAAATATATGTGAATAAATTATTTTTTGGTTTTATTTATGATAAGAAAAAATACAAAATACATTTGAATGGAAAGAGGGCCCGCCATTGAATAACCGGAAACGGAAATGAAAATTAATCCATCATGTCATCCTGTCAATTGGAAAATTAGTTCTCCAGACGACAACGAAGGCTTTCGGTGGCGTATCGTGTTTCCACTATTTAACACAGAGTTGAAACTTCTTTCTAGTTAATTATTTTATGGGCCCAGCTACGTCGAAACACCGGTTCCCATTAGAACACCGAAGTAAGGCAATACTGGTGGATGGACGGGTGACCGGTTCGAAACTCTGTATCGTGCTGTGGTCCAAAAAAGGCAAAAGTGTAAAATCTATTGACACACATTGCTCATTCACGCCGGTTCGAGGCCGGATGAGATCGGATATCTCGTGAGTAAGAGTCGATTTAGACACTTGCCAAGTCGGTAGGCCATTGACCATGATATGGCCGAGGACCGCGGTTCGGATTCCGCGTAAACAAAGTAGGCCCCGTCCAGATTAGCCCTGGCAGCAAAAAGAAGACGTTAACTGAAATTTTTACTTTACTTTACTTTACTTCTACACCCTGTATCTCCGAAACGAAGCATTTTAGGACATAAGTTTATACGCACTTTTTTACTTATTTTTATGTGCAAAATTGCTATATTTTGTTGGGGGAGATCGAATTAGCAATTTACGCTATGCCGATGACATCACCATATTTGCTGCACCGGAGGAGGAAATGACGGTTCTCTTAAACAGAAGAGAGCGAGAGAATGAAAAATTTGGTCTATCAATAAACAGATCCAAAACAAA